AAAGCAGGCATCCCGACTCGCAATTTGGCGCGCTTTTTTCTCTCGACCTTCCTCTCGCTCTCGTAGCCTAGGCTACAGAAACAACGTCTCTTGTTATTCGTATAACATATGGATAACGATGAGATACGCAACACCGGATATCCTCCAGACGTCAACGTCGCCAGTCGCAGGCATTCTTGCTCAGCTACAATTTTATAATGATAATGCACGAATTAACGATTTTAGAGAGCACCTTCCACTAGAGCAAAGTGATAAGATTAACGAGGACCTTTAGTGACTGGGCCGCGATTTTGACCCAAATTAGCTTTTTCATCATTTCATTTTTCTAAGCGTGTAGCGAAAATTTTTTATGAGTATTGCGCTATGAGAACTCGAGCATGTCTGCTAGTCACACATCCTACTTACTTCAGGATGTCGCGTTCTAATGTTTACCAATCCAAAAATAGAGCCTCGTTCGCGCTATGCTCGATGTACCCACACACACACACACAACCTGTACTTCTCATTTAACCACCGTATCCGCTCTCTTTTTCTCTTTCTCTCGCGAGAGACAAGTAGTTGCTCCACCTCGTCGTCTACGTATATGGACCATTGAAATGAACGAGAAGAAAAAACAAATTGTCTTAGAGTGTGGATGTGAAAACAAGTAAAATCAGTCTCGAAAAGTCAATCTTCCGCGCGTGATTTGTACCATCTGGCTGCGGATGCAGTCGAGTGCATCGCTGCCAGCCAGCACAACTCTGAGCAACGTTACAATGAGTCACTCGACTCGTACGTATTGTAATAGCACGGATATGTCTAATAAATTCACCTGACTAAGCTCCAACGTAATTGCAGTCATTCTAGTAGATGCTAGACTTTGGTACTTGCTTTGATCGAGAATTCGTCATTGATTGCGGCGCAATTACTTCTTAGCCACGTAGCTTCCGAGCAGTGAGCAATAGTCTTTGTATGATCAATGGACAAATCATCGTTACGTTTTAAACGGACAAAAGCTCGTTACTATGACAATATTCACACGTGAATAATTATCCCTTCTCGAGCAATGCATTCGATATTTTGCTTATAAAGCTATGAAAAACAAGTCAGATTGTTTGTAATTAAGATTTCATCGAAGAATTCAGATTCTGTGACTTGCACGCAAGAACAACTAAGGTAAGTTAGCGACGAATCATAAAGAAGTGTTGTTATTGTTTGAACGACTAGCACGCATAATAAAATAAATGTATAAACACATAGTTCGCGAACGAGGCAAGCGAATGAGAGAGAGAGATAGGCGACGCTATTTAGACGTCTCAGAGTACGAGCCGCGAGCACTATTCGCACTATTCGTTACATGTTGCGGTAGAGGGGAGCGAACTAACTCTTGTCGAGCGCCGACCAATCGCAGCGCGCGAAGCAACGAGACGCTCTTGAGCCACGAAAATCACGTGCAAGAAAAACCAAACGAGTACTTTTTTGCTTGCAGCACGTCGTATCAGGAAGATGTGGGTGCGTCGTCCCTTGGCGGCATTACAGTCTATTTTATGAATTTGTCCCTCGCATCCTCTGGCACGCATGGGCGTTCGCGAGTGTGGGCCCAGTTGGCAGCAGAAAGCGCCGCCGAGACGTGGAATGCGGCTTTCAGGCATGGCCCCGCAGCGAGCACGAGCCATTGCGAGATCTACACCCACTGACACCCACTCGCCCTCTCGATGCAGCCTGCGCGACCGAAGCTGTCTTTAATACTTTACTGCAAGTTCTCGGCTCTCGAGCTGGCAGCATTGCCCATCTCTCGAGAAGAGCTAATAACGAAGTGCAGCGAATCATTGTTGAAAATGAAGAGTAAAATGCAAAAAATTACAATAAATAACTGTTCTTCCTTAGCAGTGCAGGGGCACACATTCCTTAGCAGTCTACATCGAGCAATCAACTGCGATGCAAATATATTTCGATGCGAATCAGATGGTAGCCGTTTAGCAGCAGTATGTGATGTTTGGAAGCTCATAGCTCGTAGCGCTAGGAGAGTTTTCTTTTTGTCGCGCTCGTTTTTTGTCCCTTGCTGCAAGCATAGGCTTAGAGGCTGCAGTTATCAGACGTATAAAAGTAAGGTGAGGCGGTCAACGCGAGCCAGCGAGGTTTACCAAAGTACGCGTACAGCAGTATTGAAAACCGATCTGAGGCGTATTATGCGATGGATACGCGCGCGTAAATACGATCGCTGCGTGCACTGCAAACGCGAGTGTGCGAGCGAGAGAACGAGAGAACGTCAGCTGCAGCTTCTTAGAAGCTCCGCGCGTCGCTCGTAAAATTTTCTCTCTCTCCCTCTTTAGCCCGTGTATGCGTGCGGGCTCAATAACCCGTCCGCAGAATACGATACCGCAACTAGCTCGCCACCAGAGTATCATACGTATCGCATGTATTATATGCATTTGTCGAGCGACAAGTATAGCTCCGACGCTACGAAGAAGATGAGTTTGCCTAGCAACGACTCGAATGCATCGAAATTCTTTTTAAGGAAAGTCATTGATGCGGATCGAGCGAATGTAGCATATAGCGGCGCTGCTGGCTGCTACGCTGGGATCTCTCTCGGCAACGTTCATGAATGAAAAATGCAAATGGCCCACTTCCGCCCACGGCCGCCACGACTTCTCCTTCTTCCGCGGCACACCAACGCACCGCACATGCACGGCATAGCGTAGCGCGATACGCGTCGAGCCGCATTTGCGCCAACTGACCTCCCACCTCTGCGATTTAGCTGGCGCGAGTTTTCCGCTTGCACAATCGTGTGTCTGCAGCTTTGTAACTAGCAAGGAGCAGTGCGAGCATGGCCTCGTTCGCGCTCCGGCTCCAACGCGACTCCAACGCGACTCCAACGCGCGCATAAAATTCGCTCTTGCTTTTTCGGACGAGCGGCCGGCTTGTTGTTGATGTTGTGGTTAGCGTCTCGCCTCGTGTCATGAAACGATGGCAAATTGATGAATGACTAAAAATAAATCGTCTGCCCGATCGACCGACTGCTTCTCTTTCTTTGTCTTTTCCAAGCGCCTTGCCGCCTGCCCGTCTCCCTGGCCTACGTTGAAAATAAAATCTTGGCGAATTATCAAGTATTACGAAGCGCAGGTATTCGAGGCATTCGACCGAACGTGTCGCACGCTGCACTCTGTTTTTCTACAAAATAAGTCAAACATTGAACGAAGCTATCGCGAGCCGCTCGTTCGTCTCGCTGTGTTTGTTTCATTTGTCGACTAGTCGATTCGAGATGATAGCAAAGACGACGATCGCTTCCGGTACCATCTCGTCGTCCCCTGTAACGCCAGTGCCGCTTCTCCTATCGCCTAGAGTGCTGCATAATTAGTCTCTCTTGTATACGAGTATTTATATTTCTATGCTCTCCCTAGCTCGACGAAAGCGAAAGCGAATCATTGAATATTAATGCTCAGCTCGACGAGGCGCACATGCCGCGCAGCCACTAGATATTTGCGGATCGACGACCTGCGAGTAAGGCAGAAACTACTAAAATTGCACGGTGAGATCAAGCCGAAGCAACGAATCGACGCGAATATTTTTCGATGAAAAATGTAGCTTTCTGTCGAGCTCGAATGATCAAAAACAGCCGATGAGAGTGGGCAATTCGATTGAAATATGGGCCCCGTTGCAAAGGTGCGTAGCTGCATGCACCACGAGTATTTACCTACACATGTGCTTGGCTAATTCCAGAGCGCGTCGATTGGCTATTTTTATCGAAGAAATATGTCATAACGAGCGCGAGCCCCGACGAGCCTCGTCGATGTACCAAGATACACCAAGATCGTAACTCGGGATCGTTCAATTACATAATCGTAAAACACGGGTAAGATCGGCTATAGCAGAAGGATCGGCTATTCACGACGATGGGCCCCTGTCAAAGAGTTGCAACAAGTTGTACGGACAAGAACACGATTACGTCGCGAGCAACTTACGCAAGCGCGCCGATTTTACAATCGAATGAATTGTGCCTCGACAGTCGGCATCGAGAAAAAATTGCACGGCCCCGCCAGCAGCAGCAGCAGCAGCAGCAACAACAACAGCAGCACGTGAAACAGCGACAGCACGTGGCACGTCGACTGCTAGCTACGAGCTTCATTCATAAAATCGAGTCGAGTCGTATAGAAGCGGCGACAACGCTCGACCAGCGCATGGATTTCAACGAGAGCAAGTGAGCAGGTTGGCCATCGCAGACGCAGGAAGAAAGCGGAAAGGAGCTCGCGATACGCAACTTTCACGCGGCCAAGCGCAAAAACTTTCTGTATCCTACACGAATTGTTGTGTGCACAGTCATGCAGTTGATTCGTCCGTCGAGTCCAACAAGTCCACCAGCCGGTCTTTCGTACTATAAAGCAATATGGTAGGATATCTTATAGAGTAGGCAGTATGATAAGCCAAAGTCGTGGATTTTTTTCCTCGGAGCAAACCAAACGCAAGAGCAAGCGAAAAATAGTAATAATGTTGCAAATATCATTGACAATTTCATCGAATAATGTCGAATAATTTACTTGGGTCTCGAACGAAGAGAGCCGAAAAAACAAGGCAAGCGTAAGAAAGGACGCAACGAGCTGGTTTCAGGTGAATGGACGTGAAATGCCTCGGATCTCGGGTGAACATTGAATCGAGCAAATCACGCCATCTCCTTGGTTCACTCTGCATCGAGCAGTACAAAAGCGACTCGCTGATTTTATTAATTGCTTGCTCGTCTGCGCGTATCTGCGCGTATCTGCGCGTAGCTCGGTTAAAGGCCGAGCAGTTCGGTCCATTCACCAACGAGCTTGACTCAATAACACGTGTATTGTAATTTAGTCGTGCGAATGCGCATGCATTAGGCAGGTGACCAGTCGTCGAGCTGCCTGGAAATTAAAACTTGAACTGGTATTATCACGGAAGGGTTTTAGGAAGCTACGGAGAAGGGGGAAGCTGCGCAAGAGCACATGGTCACGGACAGATTTCTTTCTAGGGGTGATACGAGGCGAGAAAAAGCGACTTACCGTTTCGACTGGGAGGCCGCGGAGGCGCGGGGTAGCTGGGCGGCGTGAGCTGAAAGCTCGGCGAGAGCAGCAGACGATTCGTCGCGTCGCGGCAAGCGGCAGCGGCTTTGGCAAACTTCTCCTGCTCCTGCAGCCGGGCACAATCCACAAAGTCGTCACTTAAAGCACTACCAGAACTATTAGAACTAGGCCGAGGAGGTTGCGAGGCGCCGTTGCCGCCGCCGCTGCCGCTCGCAACGCCTAGCGCGTTGATGGCTGCGAAGGATGTCGTCGGCTGCTGCCAACTGCGCCGCGGAGGCAGCGCCGGCGCCGGCTTGCAGTCCAGGGTATCCACACTTTTACACTTGACGAAACACCGAGGCTAATCGCACTGAATGGCCGAGTCCCCCAAGTGGCCCGAGGGGATCGCGACATTCGCTGCACGGCAACTCGCGAGTCGGCTACTTGTTTTATATTTTATTTTTATTATTATTATTATTATTATTATTATTATTATTAGGTAGTATTTTTTTAATGATATATTATAATGAAAAGCACAAAACGAAGCACTTAATCCACAGACTGCACTCTGGGCCTATAGTTGAACTAGCTCGCGGGGCGTCTTGGCGACTCGACGCGACTCTCTTTTCTATTTTTGTCTTTCGACGATCGCACACGCACTGAGAATCGAGATGGCTGCTGCCGTTGTCGCGTCCGACTGCTGCGAGCTCGCTCGAAGCTCACGGGCCAGCATAAACACTCGATCGGTGGGCGGTGGGCGAAAACTCGATCTCGATCGCGAACTGCACGAATTCACACGTTCACTTTGCTGGCCGATCCGTCGTTGGCGTCCACCACTGCAGCACTGCACTGCACTGCACTGCACTGCACAGGCAGCCCAGATTGTTGCTCCGTACTCGATGTAGCTGTAGCCTATGAATGCATGCTGCGCGTTCGAGGTTATGCACCTCTCTCTCTCTCTCTCGACTCTGCAGCTCGTTTTCCGAGAGGCTGCAGCAGCTATATATGCATTTGCTGTTCTTTCGCGCTCTCTCTCTCTCTCTCTCTCCGTCTTTTTCCCTCTGGCTAGCGCCGTTCATGCGCTATATATGTGCAGCCGTGAACGAGTGCGTTCGTTGGGCGAGGAGAAGCGGATGTTGCTGTCGCTGTGCTCGCAGCTTTTCATTTATCGAGTCTCGCGCGAACATGACGTACATGCTTGCGCCTCGAAAAAGCAGCAGCAACGATGCGTGCACTCGACTCGGAGCACATACAGTTCACTCTCGAACGTCACTGTCTCACTGAGCAGGGCTCACTCGTCGATTCGAACTGCAATAACAATGGAACGCGAAAGTGCAGCGGCACGAGCTCATTCATGATCGGCGCTGCAGAGGCGCGGATCGCGATCGTCGGCGCACTGGATGCACTAGTAGGAAAGTGGGAATGGCGGCTCGACGACGGACGACGAGTCAACAAGGCACTTTTCACGAGTCGTTGAAACTTTGCTCCCGATTACTGTACACGGGGGGAGGGGGGGGGGGCCTATGGTAATTGCGCGGGTGACTAGGCTGCAGCGATAAAGCTGTGTAGCCGATATAGCCGATAAAGCGATAAGCGGCCGGCCTGACGTGAGCTGCGTCGGTGGCGCTGTTGTCTGCTAGCTGGCTGCTTCGCTACTAGCTCGCTTGGCCGCGAGCCGCCGCGCGAATCCGCTCTCTTCCCCTTCCAGCTATCTGTGTGTTTCTTCCTCTCCTTCCCCTCCCTTACCCTCCCTTACCCTCCCTTACTCTCCTGCCGTCGCTCGACGTCTCTTGTAACTCATGGCCGGTATAACTATAGCTATATTTACCTACTCGAGTACGCGTAGCGTATGATGCTTACTTATACGTGTGCGTGCGCAGTGTGTACGTGTCGCTGTTGGCTATATATAACTATATACATATGTATACTATATTATGCGTCCTACGATGTAGCGCAAGTCGGAGAATTCGCGCACACCAACGAGCTCGCTATAAAATACTCGCTGCTGCATCGTAACATAAGGCACATCGGCGACTGAATCGCGAATCGTGGCCGCCATTGCAGCTCGCAGCTCGTTTCGCGGCGCTTCGAGCGCTGCTGCGACAGCGAAATAGCGAGTATTAGCCGGCTGCCATCGACCGAACTGCAGCTGAACGATAGCTCGGCAGTCGCTGGACGCGAATCATCTCCTTGGTATACCTATCTATACTTGTGTACCTACTCGAGCTTTCTGTACATACTCGCCTTACGCCTTCTTGCGCGCTTCTGCCGCTCTCGTTGTGCTAGTGCACACTGCACGCATGGCAGAGTCGTCGTCTGCTGCGCCGAGCCGAGAACCGACAGCTTGAATTCGTAACTGTATGCTCTTGCTTTGGAGTTTTCGAGAGCAGCCGAACCAGAGCTTAGTGGATGAATTATTTTTATTCCTGAAATGAGCCATTCTCCCTGATACATCCTCCTCGCTGCTCACATTCAGTGCTCACTCACTCAATCATCGTCTACGGTTGACCAATTCTGTTCTCCGCTCTTTCCAACGATTCAACTATAGACTCGAACTTTGAGGCTCTTTAGCATCGAAACTGTTGAGCTAGCGAATTTTGTTCCACTCGAAAGCCATCGATGGCAAGATAACTCGAAATTTCCATTCAAAGTTGCATTTAATTGTGAATATTTGCTCGGCGTTGGCCATTTGATTGTCCCTGTTGGTAGGAGGTGTAGCGGGCGATCGCTGCATTCAGCGGGCCATACTTGGCACTTGGATATTGCTCGGATGTCGTGGGACGATGCTCAAGGCTCTGGATCTCCTCATACTTGTCTCGAGAGCGCACCGAGATTACTTCATTATGTATCGCGGTCATTCTCTACTACTCGAGCTGCTTCTCTACCGATCGATTTGTCATTCCAAATCGTGCAATTACAATCGACTCGACGAGCTTTTGATATTCGGGCGATTCATAGGAAGCTTCGCCAAAACTTGATCGTCGATTCGATCTAGGCGGAATTTTACAAATTTTCAATTGATAGTAGCTTGTTAATAGCTTGTTAATAGTGTGTTAATAGCTCAATGTAGTCACAATATTATCTTTCTATTACGCCGCTATTATTCAGCCAAATTCATACGTGCGTCACCCGTGGCGCCCCCCTTTTGGAAGTTATTTACATGCTATTTTCTATGGGGAGAAATTTAGTAGCGTGGCCGCCACTGCCATAACTGGAAGTCTTTTCCATAAGAGCACGTGTTAAAATCGACGCCAGCGCTGTAATCCCCTCCATCCACGCGCACACTGCGAATACGAGGAAACGTAAGCTGCAGATGCTATATCAAGTTCTTTATTTGCGACGTTGTTCGAGTAAATATATCATCCGCGTTATGTACATCACTAGGTACGCGCAATCAACATCACTGACGTTCGACTATGAGGTATGTATAATATAGGACCAAGAGCTAGTTCGACGTTGGCCAATTATTGGTCTACTATCGACAACGGCGAGTTTTGCGCTCGACACGACGTCGAATCGCAGTCGGCGAAGGATATCCGTCACGTGCACGCGAACGGATAAAAGCTTCCCGTCGACGACGCCTAGCATCCTCCTGGCCTCGTCGAGTACAGACTCCGAGTCAAGCCTCGGCTATCCTCTCGCCCACTCATCTGAGCAGCTCGGGCCAGGACTCGGCGATCGAGCCACGATTCCATTGAAGCCACGACTCGAGCCGCGACATCGATTACACATCGATATCAACGTTCGCGAGTAACGAGTAACGGCGTCGTATATCGTGACTGGCGCATTTGCCATTAACAGCTCTCAAGGCTGCTGGCTGCACTTGTATGTCACGATTGCACTACTTGCTGCGAGCTCTCGTCGTGCGCTCTTTTTCCTACTTTATCTCTGCATTTGACGATTTAATTAACTTCGAATCTTCCATTCGTCGATGCCAAGCAGGCATCTCATAACATCACCAACCGACATAAAATACAGCAAATATACAGCAAAGCCCTTTATTAATTCGTCCCTACATTAATTGCATTAAATTAATCAAGTATCAATCGGTTGATGATGAAAAATTAGCCAATACAGGTGTTGCTCGCTCAGCCCCTAATCCTGTAAAAGATCTTGAAGCATGTTTACTGATGTGCTCTGCTAAATTGCATTAATTTATCTCGAGGCTTGATAAAATAGAGACTGGACTAGCATTTCGCAAAATCGGTGACCCGCACTACTTGTACAGCTACAAGACATATCCACCATTCGATCGCCTTGTTTTTTCGTGCAATTATTACATTTTAGATAATAAATTAGTCGACGATATTAGTATAACGAATTTCTCTCTCTCTCTCTCTTTGTCTCTTATAGGCACATGGACTCGGTCGAGTGTCTCGATGATGCAACGACTTCCTACTTCCTAGTGAGGTAATAAAACACGCGATACTCGCGCACAGACGAAGCGTAAAGAGCTCGCGTAACGTATCGTGTTTTCACGCTCTCGTGTGCGCCTTCGTAAAAAGTCCAAGGCAAAGCAAGACTATGAATAAAGTCTAGAAGCCACGAGTGCGTAATCTACGCCACGAGTAAACTATCATTCATGCAACGAATGAATGAAAATTGGATCATGCGCGGCCTCTGTAAAATCGATAACTTACCTTTCGACGCAGCACTAGGTAGCTCCAAATGATGCTCGATCGATTTTATCAATTGGAGCCTCGAATTTTAATGGACTTATTTGGGCGCGAAATGACGCTGATATAAGAACGAATAAAAGCAAAATTCAGCTGGATCCATGATATTTTCGTTTCTACTTCCGAGACGAAAACGTGGCGATCGGATCGGATCGTTGGCCGAGTGTAATTAACGGATTTCTCAAAGCGATGGCTCGTCGTCGACACGTACGTCGTGAGGACCCGCGAGTACCTTCGGCGCTTGCTCGAGCCAGAAAAGCTGCTAAGACGCTCGCGACAACGATCGATGACACGCGTACGTCGAGCCCACGCGTTCCTCGCGCCCAGACTCCCGTCGAGTGAGGCTATAGACCCAACTATATTACAGACTTGTTGCTTCGAATCGCCTTCCCACCCACTGCTCTCCCTAAAGCTGTTCATTGAACCTGCAGCTATACTAGCATCGACTATTTATTCCTAATGAGATACTTTTTTTTCTTCGCTACTCTTCTCGTTTTTCTCGCGTCTCTGCGCAATGCCTTTATCCAAGTGGCGAAAATCCAACTCGCTGCGTTAATCCAAGAGCGGGGAAACTCGATATCGCGCGCTCTAGCTCTCACCGCGGCGGCTGCACTTGTACACGCTCGCAGATAATAGTCAGCGCCAAAGTACATAATATATAGAGAATACATAAACCAAAGAGAAGGGAAAGATAGCAAACGAGTTGGCGCAAAAGTACGTCTGTTAAAGAGGCAAAAAGACTTGCTTCCGGTTTCCGTTGAAACGAGATTGGCGCACCTACGGATTCTGTGCTACGCAAGCCACTGACTACTCGCTCGGCTACGTCGACTCCACTGCTCTTGTAGCGCTGCTATGATCGTGGCAATAGGCAGCGATTAAATTTCTAATAATTCATTGCGCAACGGGGATGCAACGATATCGGCATAATCTAGGCCGATTCGGGCCTAGTTTGAGCTCCGGACTCGCTCCTTCTGGCTCCGGCTACAACATATCAATGATTTTTTTTCATCCCTATTGGCAAGTATACTTTGCGTTTCTGACTCGTTTTCGCGATAATTATCACTGCAGCTGCTGCCGCGCGTATACAAGCTTGAAAATTGATTTATGAAGCGAAAAACTCGTATGAAATATAGAAGAAGCCGTCGTTGATCTACTTTTGCTTTTGTCCAACGGCCGCTCATTAATTATTTCAGCGCTGCCGAGCAGTATATTATTTTACGCTTAAGACATTTAGAAATTCGTTACAATATTTAGTCGATGGCATTAGTTGTGACTTGATATAAATAATAATAGACTTGATTCAAAGGTCTTGCATGATTTTATTGTACTCCTTTTACCATCTGTACCAGTATACAGTACACGTTGAAAAATGTCGTTACGTATAATAAATAATTCATTTTTTTTGTTTATATATGCACATTAATAAAATTCAATTGATTATTGAAGAAATCAACAAGTTAGACGAGCTAATTTCTAGATCAGTGGTACTCTCGATACAAAATTAGTACAAAATGTTGTTTCGTCTCGATCGCACTAATAGGCAACAAATAATAGTTAAAACAAAATACAGGAGGGCATAGGAATACACGGACAAACATATTTTCACGCAGTCATGAAATTATATGAAAAATTAGAGAATCTGGAAGGTTTTCTTCAATTCGACCATCAACTGCCAGTCGTTCTTGACGAGATCTTCCCTGAAGAATTCTTTGCAAGCATCGATGCTCTGTCGGGTTATCTGTAAAACAAAATCATTCATTATTATCAATTGCACCATTAACAGTACGACGAGTTTATTGTATTGATATTTGGAAAAGGTGAATAATATGTGATTCGGTCTGTCAAAGAAGTACAAACAATCATACAGGTCAATCGTGCCGCAACGACGATCTCTTCGAGTCAGAGTCAAAGTCAGATCGAAAAAAGTTGGGGGCAACGAAGCGACGCGAATGAGATAATCGAGCTAATTCACGGCGAGTCAATCTCGGTGGACGTCGCCCACGAGGCCTTTATGACTCTATGTGTGCGTACATAATCCAATTCCATTAGCACATCTCAATGTATATATAGACAGGCACGAAACCACTACGACTTCCGCGGGTGCGGCGAAAGCTGCTATATACACACACACACACACATATTTGAAGCGGCGTCTATATGTATAGCTGTAGTTTATTGATAAGTACAGTACGTATAGCTGGTCTCGAGTCCGAAGGCAGGCATGCACGCACACACGCACACACACGCACACACACACACAGCTCATTGGTTCCATTCATGCTCGTTCGCCCACACTCGTGTGTGGACGGCGTTATAGAAAGCGATCGAAGCGTGTATCTCGGAGAGACTCGAGCAAAGGCGCTCGTGACGATATTGGCAAGCCGCCCACGCGACGCGAGGAAAGGGGTGCGCGTGCCACAGACGACGCGGCTTTCTCTCCGACCAAGAGGAAATAATTCATCGTGTAATTCGCGCTCTCGCTACCGGACACTGCTTCTCTCTCTCTCTCTCTCTCTCTCACTACTCACTCACTTGCTCTTTTTGTCAATCGGCAAAATCTATATACAATAAAAATAACGCGAGCCAGAGACTAGATCCAGCCCACCGATCTTTTGCCAAGCTATTTCCATATTCCATATCACATTTCTATTCTATTCTCCATATCTTTTTAGACGCGTCTACGCTTTCTTTTTTTGTCGGTTTGACGCCTTCAAAAATTACGACCAATATCATTGAGCACAATAGCGTTTACGCGTATTTCAATCGATTGTCGCGGCGTTTCCGTTACTATGTACATACCCTTGCCTCGCACACATACTCGCAGAGCAAACATCGATGTAAATATAGTTGGATATTGCACGTGACGCGTTGCTAATTATAACAAAATGTTCCGAGGCGATCGCAGAAAAAGTGAGGAAAAATGCCAAAGTAAAATCGTGAAAGATATCTGCCGATTCAATTGCAGACATCCTTTCATAAGGGAGTTGGACGGTATTAGGCAAAGATACACGTAATCTGCAGAGATACATGCATTGAGTACGGACACGAGAGTTACGAGTGCACTTCGAAAGCGTCACAACGAGCATCGCCACACGTTTCTCTTCTCTTTCTATCAAAACGTTTCCGCGAGTGCGAGCCGGAAGTTCCATTTCATTCATGAATCGACACAATGTCTACTGTATGTGTGTCGAGTCACGACTGTCGTGCAGTCGCCTCCTCCTGTAGCGGCTCTATAGACGCTCTGCACGTGTGCGTACGCGCGTGCATTCATACACGCTCAGTTTTTCCCTTTCGTCCATTCTCCCTTGCGCTGTAATAGCGCACAATGTGCGCCATGATGAGATGACGACCAAAGCCAGTCGTACGAAATTGTTTCCTCCGACTGTTATTACAAGCATCTACTCGAGCCTCTCCTACATATATATCTGTGAATATCAAAGGCCTCGAATGCATAAGCCTGTAATTTATTCCATGTATGCGTGCAAATGACACCGGATTTTCTCGAGTATCGGACTGAATCGCTTTATGCACTGCATAAATGCGCCATTAGCAACAGCAGTAACAGCATCCAGCCAGACGTTATCGGTTTCTTTCATGCACCCAAAGCCTAGTCTCTGTGCTGCCTCTACTTGCACTCATTCAACTGCATTCGCTTTACCAATTCTTTTTCTCCAATGTCAGGTTAACGAATGATTAAAAGTATTTATTACAGGATACATATCTTGTTGCTGATTCTGTACAATTTCATTCGTCCGTTGTTCCATTTAGCTCTTTGCTAAACTTACAACATCGCCTTCTTTAGAGTTGACAATTTTTTTATCAATTTTCATTTTAGGATTTTCAATTGCTTTCTACTATAAAAGATTTTATTGACGTTTCTGGTCCTTTTCCCTTTGATACATAAATCGAAAGAAGGAAAAATTAAAAGGACAAACAAATTTATTTATATAAACCCGGGCCAGCTTAGCTCATTGGATCAGAAGGTAAATAAACATACGTTTCGGGGGCCTACTTTCGAATACACAAGCCGAAAGTATAATACTTCCGTCAAGATAATGTAATATGCTCGGCACTTCCGATTCAATAGCTTGGTTTGCGGTAATTCACGTTATAATGTATTTCTGCCTCGGATTCGCCAACTCTGAGTCTTTCGTTACGTGCAAGCGAAAAAATAAGCTGGATTAGGCTTTCGATGAATTGAAAATCAGAGGGATTTAAGGGAGGAGCAAAGAGAAAGCTGCTTTTGCCAACACTAGCTACTACATAGCTTTGGATTTTTGCTCTCGGTGACTTTGCTGGCCATGATTTCCCGAAGGGGATTCTTTTGGATCGTCGTGCAGGCGAGCTGCAATAGTCGGCTGATTCTTCGACGAGCGATCGACAATGACGAGCTCGAGCCGCAATCGTTTCGAGTCTCGAACACGATAAATGGATGAGCGATCGACGCGTCGTTTTATCGCGCGAGAAGCTAGAGCAGGAATCGGACCAAATCTCGGTGGGCACACGACGAGCGCGTGGAGAGGAAGCGTCGATGCGTGCACACGCGCCCGGGGCCCAGGAGCCCGACTACCGCTGCGCCCCGATCGGCCCGTGCGCCTTGGATAACCGTGGGAACAGACGAGCGCCGCTTCCGGCAACTGCTGTATACCACAACAACAACGCCAGCATCGGCAGCAGCAGTAAAGACACGACCCTTATGCAGACTTTTGTGCAGCGTCGTACGTGTGCGAGCTCGTGTATTATTCGGCCAGTGAGTACGCGGCTTCCGCCCCGCTGCCATACTCATACTCGAACTCGCCAGGACTCACCACTGAGACTACGCCTCGAGAATGTCAACGCGAGCGAGCAAAAGACACGTAACTTTATAATGACAATGCACGTGTCGTTCTCATTTTCTTTTCTCCCTTTGGTTGCTGCAACGTGGACAATCCCTCCCAAAGAAGTTCCAGCTGCTTCTTTTTTTCATTTCGATTGATTGAATTCTCGTCGCGATCGCACACAATATACATCGGACAACATTTTTTTTACTACAAGCAACTCGTCGATTCAGTCTCTATGTGTTGTGCAACAAGACAAAAAAAGTAAATAATGATAATAAATGAAAGAAGCAACAAGTGGTAACCATTTAGTCAATCGGTGTGGATCAATTTGCCGCTAATTCTCCAGGACTGTGAGTTTTTTCTACGGAAACTAGCGTCTACTTGAATCTATTCAACAAGAGATATACATCATAGGATTGTAAAACTGCGCTACGCCTACTTTCGTTCGCACCGAAAATTCGAGCGATCATCGAAAAAACGATCCCATTGAGTGGCTCAATTGGATGGATACCAACTACTTAAAATTAATCACAGCAAATGGGATAGGCGAACATTCGTTGCGGACAAAACGCAACATCTGTTTTTTACATTCGGTACAAAAAATATCCGATAAGATTGACATTCGTGAAATTTCAGATACTTCCTGACAAGACGCTTTTGTCGATCTTTCAAAATCAATGAATCTTCTCGGTACTCATAATTTTCCATGTTCAACTAAAAACGAGAGCCGTGAGAGAAATAATTTTCTGCTGACAGTTCGAAACTCGCGTCCGATTATTTGTCGATTATCTACTCGAGAAAAAACATTCAAGTATCAAAGAACTGAGCTATGAAGTGCACCGAATTAACTAAGAAAATCCAAAGATGTGAACTTGGTGCTTTTGTAGTACTAATGGTACTTTGGCTGTTTAACCGCAGGCAATGGCTCCATTGATAATTTAATCCAAGTTAATGGCGAGATATCAGAAGCTACGGCTCTGCTAAAAAGATATACAAGTCTTAGGAGAGGGTGTCAGACCACCATTTCTCACGCGATCAATTAGAGTTGTCGTGGCAATTACGTTTATTCTTTATCGTTTTGGGAGCTTTATATTTTTGTTCAGTATCAATTTAGTTGCCGTAGATCGAGGTAAAATAAAATGTTAAAATAGACGTATCAGTACTTTGTATTGTTTTTTTTTCAAAATCTTACTAATTGTTTTCTTCTGCCATTTTCACTCGTTTGCAGCAAGGATGAGTATTTTTCTTCGACGTAGTACTGCACTTGCGAATAAATATCTTGCGTATATGAAATCAATCTGCTTTCTACTCGAATTGCTATAGAGGTAATTTTCACTTGCGATTGCTCGTGGCTCATATGAAATTGATTTAAAGTCCTTCTCTCGATCGTTATTACGAAGTTTTGTAAGGGCAACTTTCATCGATGTTGAGAGCGCAGTTTGATCGAATTTCACCTTCAGACTTTTCATGAGCATACTCTAATTGAAAATCAATAGCAGTTTGTATGGTATTTGGAAAAAGTGTTCATTCGCCGCAAGGTCGTACGCAATGGTCGACTCGAATAAACCACAGTATTTTTTTGTACAAACGAAAAACGAGCGTACATGAATAATAAAAATTTATTCGTAGATCGACTCAAATTCTTTCAATATGATACAACAATTTTTTTTTGAATAAGGCAAAAATTATTCGGACGTAAGAGCAGTGAGGGTAATACAAACGGTAAGTGATATCGAAACGATTTGCAGGATGCATTTTCTGTGCCTGCGATCTAATTTAAATCTGGACATTTGTCTATCCTTGAAAATAGAGCTCGAACATATTTTTGGCGTTTCTTCTATCAATTTGTGTTGAATTAAAAAACGCCAGTGGATAAACATCGAATATTTAACGATTGTTTTACGTAACTCTTACTACC